AGTTTTTTGTTTGTTTTTTGTTTTAGTAGAACAAGTAGGAGTGAAGAATTTGAACTCGTGATTTTTTGATATGCAAATTACCGCTAAGCTAAGTTCATGTTAGAAAATATCAACTTTCTTTATTTAATAGTAAGCATAAAGCAATACGATATTCTATTGAAAACCTAAAAAGAATTATTTTTTAGTATATTATTATGTTTGGCCAAAATAAAAACAAAAGTAACAATCAAATGTTTTTTTTTTTTTTTTGGTGAGAATTAAAAATTATTTAATTTGTCGCAATTTGAAGGTTAGGACATGTATCCTAGTGAACAGGTTTGAATTCCTTCTCTCACGTAACCAAAATAAAGAATAAAAAATATCTCCCTACAAATCAAAGAATATCTAATTCCACTAATTAAAATCCTATTTTACCTCTTAAATTTCGTCCACATATTTGATTTAGTTATGTTTCTATTTGTACAATGTAATATAAATGTGAGGTAGCAATCCACTAATACTCAACTATTAAAATAATGATCGCAAGCTGGTCTAGACTTTTATAATTATAAAAAAAAAATCTTTATATATTTATTAATTTATTGGTCTAATTCATGTAACATTTTGTAGTTTGACAAGTCAAATGGTTACACATATATAACAAATATTGAGCCCATCAAATTTTTATGTTGTCAATTAAAATATAGTTAAACTGGATAAGACCTCTATCACCAACTTAAAATTAGATAGGTGAATCCCTTGTTCTTTAATTGTTGTACTCAATTTTTTTTTTATTATTAGATTATATATTTATAGATATAATTTAAAGAGCTGGAATTTTACCTCTAATACATTGCCATTATTAACTCCAATATAGTACTTATGTCAATATAGACTATATATATATATATATATATATATAATATAATATAATACATAGAGGCAATTGGTGAGGTAAACGTTGAACCATGTAGGGATAGAAGGGGATTTGCATTTTCGAAAGAGAATCCTTTTATTTGATTTGGCAATTTAATTTTTTGATTTGAATTTAAAATGAAATTTTGGGCATGCGTTAAACACGCTACGCTAACCATATAGTTGTTTTTGCGAAGATAAAAAGGGCGCTATCATAACCTCCAAAAGGGCCGCCCCCTCACTCCCATTTCCAACTTTCTGCAAATAAAATCCCCAACAAAAAGAAGAAGAACCAGAAGCAGAAGAAGAAACTCTGCTTCCTCTTCTTCGCTATGAGAGTTCCCGTCTCCGATCACCAAACCGTCGCCGCCAACCCTAAACTCACCTCCTCCGCTGCCGCCCGAACCATCGCCTTCCACACCTCCGATATTCCAAACCTCTCCTACGAACCTACCTCCGTCCTCGATCTCCGGC